GGAGGGGGGCACCCCATAGACACAGAAGTTGATTTCTTAGCCGAGTGTGGTGCCCTGCTCCACAGATTTCCACCTCGGTCATATTATCGTAGTGCTTAGGCGAAGCCCTGCGTCGGTAACTTCATCGTCACCGTCAACATGACGTCGTGCTGACAAAACTCTCCCTCGGCCTCAACTGGATCTAGAGTTCGAGGGACGTCACCGAGTTGAACGTGTGCAGATCACAAAGGTGCCGTACGTTCGGTACTTGATCGGTTGGATCGCGAAGATGTTCGACTATATCAACCGCGTTACTTAACGCTTCCGCTTTTGGTCTACGAGGGTACGTGTACACACTCTCCCCGCTCGTTGCTATGCTTCTCCTAGATAGATCTTGCGTGATCGTAGAATTTTTTTTGAAATACTACGTTCCCCAACAAACATAATCAAGGATGATGTACGGTGGAGACCCTAGGGCCGATCTTTCACGATTCAGAGGTGATCCTACGACGAATGCGAAGAACACAAGGCCGAAACGTGTTAGGAAACGGTAACCGCAACTCAAATTCGCAAAGAACAAAAACGTGTCAAAATTGTCGGAGTGCATAGCGAGTAAGCAATGGTGGTTGCGGAAAGCGGTGGTGGTTTGACAAGTGGAGTTAACGGAGTGTTGGTGCGGAAGTTGGCATTGGAATCATATCTGGAAGTGGGAATTGGAGTGGCAATGCGGAAGTGTGGGTGGTGGCTGAAAATTTTCGGGCAAAAAATTTCATTTTTGTCAGGGAACGTCGGACGTCCGTGTTGGAGATATGCCCTAGAGGCAATCATGTATGATGACATTTCCTATGTGTTTATGAATAAAGATAGTCCTTGGACATTATCAATGATGTGTATCAGCAAGTACGTGACTTGTTTGTGGGACTATGCATTGTATGATGACTGTCCTAATAGGTCCCTAGTCGAAAGGGTTGTGTGGATGCGCAGCCAACTAGACTAGCATATGACATGGTCTATGGATTGGTCTCACTAGCCATGGAGCATTGGATGCTAACCGGATAATATGGACTTGGAAGGATCTGGTCGGATTCGACGTAGTCGGATCCGAGTCGAGATAAGGTCCAAGTCGGACAGACCCAACTATGAGACGCAACGATATGTCATCTGTGAGTCTCGAGTACAACATATGTTCTATGTCCTAAGACCTGAGCTGACACATGTACTCGGGATGGTGACAGACTTGCTTTGGGCCGACCAAACGCTACTCCGTAACTGAGTAGTTATAAAGGTAGGTTTCGGGTTTGTCCAGAACCATGCTGCGAGACGTGGTCGAGCAAGATGGGATTTTCCCCTCCCATCAGGAGAGATATACTCTGGGCCCCTCGTGTGATCCGACCAGGATAAACATGGCCATGCGACAAGGATTATGAGATAATCTGGTTTGTGGTCGGCATCACTGGAACGAGAAAGAGGTTGGGCTAGCACAAGGATGACAGACTCGCCTTGAGCTCGACAACATATATCATGTGGCAAAAGGAATGGAAGTATGATGTACATGTTCGCCTAACCAGCTTCATAGTCTGTTTGGTGTTCGGCATGCCTTGCTAGAGGCCGCTACCAACTGTGCAGTTCGGAGGTGATCCGAACTGCGACCAAGCCGGCTTGAACCTAAGGGGTCGCGCGCTTAACGGAAGGAACCTACAAGGTCGTCGGGTCTGAGGACACTGGTCGGATGTGATCCGAGCTGTATTCGGATTGTGGCCGAGTAGACTTATGGGCTTTAGGGTCCGTGCGAGGCCCAAGTGTTGAGCCCGCGACGGGCGCCTATATAAAGTGGAGGTGCCGCACACTCAGGCGGTGGATCGCTTTGGCGCTGTCACTAGGCTTTGCATGTGTTGCGAATAGACACCTCCACTCGTCGCCGGTTGTGTGATCGGACCTAGCAGTCCGTTGCACGACGTTCCTCCTGCACGCGCGGATACCGTTAGAGGCGGTGCACTTGCGCCGCTCCTGCAAACCTGTACGTGGGAACCGACTACCGGTTATTCGAGGGAGATCGGACGAGGAGGAGACAATACACGCGGACGCGTTGCCCCAACTCTTCTTCCGCTGCACGGCACTGCACGTCTAGTGGTAACGAACTGTGATCCATCTCCCGTATCATGTTCTTGGTTGTTCTGCGCGTAGGAAAATTTTAATTTGCATTCGACGCACCCTACCGTAGAACCCAACAGACCAGTGGTGGTCGGACGACCGGTATTCGTGGACGTCCGGAGACTGTCGGACGTCCGGTATTCGTCGAACGTCCGGAGACTGTCGGACGTCTGGTGCCTGTGCGATTTCGGGCATGGGATGAACTTCTAGGGTTCGTGGTGGTGGGGGGGGGCAAAATTGGGTCAAAATTGGACAAATTTGTGGATGGAAATGATGGATATGATGGGGAAAAGCTAGATCTACCTGCTACACATGAAATCCACAGATCAAATCCAACGAAACTTCATCACACCAACAAATCATAAAAAAATGGGGAGGCTATTTTTATGGGGATTTTCGAATTTGGGGAAGAACACAACAAAACAAGGCGAGAAAACAAGGGTAGGGGCTCCAAATTCATGATCAATCAAAGCTCATAATACCAAGGATGTAGGGTGGAAACACTAGGGCCGATCTTTCACGATTCGGAGTTGATCCTATGACAAACACGAAAAACACGAGGGGAAACACGAGGGGAAACACGAGAGGAATCACTCAAACCAACAAGATTCGATTACACATGAGTTAGATCCTCGAAACACAAAGAGATACACGATCCACGATCAACAAGGGATGATACAAGTAGTAAGTTCTTCTCCGTGAGGAGGTCTTGAGGGGTCTTCCCATTAGGGGTCTTGAATCCACGTGGGGGATCTTCTCCATAGAGGTCGTGAACTCCGATGGAGAAGGGATCAAGTGGATGAACAAAGCTCTATCTCTCAAATGAGCTATCACATTGCTAACCCTAGAAAGAGGGGGGAGGACGAGTATATATAGTCTAAGTGGACGAAGGGGTACATGGGGTTCGGCCCAACACGCGGTCAACACACAGATGTCAGATGTCCGATAGTTACCAGTCGTCCGGTGGCTCGCGAGGGTCCGGACGTCCGTACTTGTCACAAGTCCGACGTTTTGGCTCGGGATGGTTGGCGTCGGATTTCCGGACGGCGCCGAACTTCCGGGCGTCGGTCGTCCACTGGTCTCCATACTTCTGATGTTTTGGTTCCGTGATGGTGGTGTCGGTCGTCGAGAGGGACTCGGTCGTCCCGGGGCTGGAGTGTGTCGGACGTCCGGTCGGCGTCAGGCATCCGGTCGCTGGAGCGTGCACAGGCTGGGACTCGGCTGGCCGGCTGGAGCTCACAGGCGTCGGACGTCCAACAAGTACCGGTCGTCCGGTGGCTGTAGAGTCCTGGTAGCTCTTCCTCTTGGTCATTGTACTTGGTGTCCTCACCGTCTTGTTCATTGGGTGTAGCTACTCCGTGGCTGTCCTCTAGGTACCTGATCACACATAGTGTCTCCGCTTGAGGTAGTAGCCATGTCTCACATATATGAAGTGGTAGTTCAGAGAGGAGCAAGTTCACCTTGTCTTCGATAGCCTTTGCTCGAGCTCTTGTCATTGGTTCAAATGGTGTCATGGAAGACGTAGGTAGATCCATGAAGATGACCATAGGATGCTCCGCATCAAAGGCTCCACTGTTCATCATGTTGCACCAAACAGTTGAGGGATTACGCCTCGGTGACCGATGGCGACGATCGTCGTAGGTTTTTTTTATCAAGCTTTCGCTTGTATTATCTAATGAGGTGTTCTAAGCAAGAGATCACAGATCCTATAATGTTATTCCTAAAGGTTAATATCTAACAAGTGCTGCTTTCCTCTTCAGATTTTTGGTCATAGAGATCAGAGACATAATTTGGGGACCATTGGCCTCATCGTATACACGTTGTAAGATGAAGGAAAACATAACTTGACTCTCCTCAATAAAGTGCACTCTATGGTTAGTTAAAAATTCATATATCTCATTTGCCAGGGCGTGACATACTAAATGAATAAAATTGTTGTCATATTAAATTCTTTTTAAAACTGGAAACTACATGAAAAAATATATAATACCAATGTAATGTAGTAGTAATTAAGTAATCAACCTCTTTCATATAAATTCATGTTGGCTGCCACAGCAAGACGATTAAGGCCTGTTTGGTTTCAATAAGTCACCTGACTTAAACCAATGACTTATAAGTCATGTCTGTTTGGTTGTCACCTGACTTATAAGTCACCTGACCACACCTTTCTACCTTGTTTTTTTTATATAAAGGTGGTGAAACGCATTCAAAAGGGGGTGGCTTATAAGTTTTAAGTTGGGGTGGAGCAACTTATGACTTATAAGTTAGGGTGACTTATAAGTTGGGTATGTTTGGCAAAATAAGTCATTTTTTTCACTTATCTGACTTATAAGTTGGTGACTTATTTGGAACCAAACAAACCCTAACAAACAGATATACAGTACAAAATTGACATTCTCAAACTAGCCCGTGCGACACAAGATTGAAGGAGTTTGGATTAGTGATCAGGCGGCGATGATGGAGTATGACTCCACAATGAAGAGCGGCCTCTGCCGGAGCTGTTGGCACCGCCGCACGCTCTGCACCAGCTCCTCCCTGTCCCCCACCCGCGACGTGAACAGCAGCTTCGCGCTCTCCTCCTGGCCCTTCTGGTCAGCCTCTTCCTCGTCCTCCTCGTCGGACTGCATGCCCATGGACGCGGCCGCCACCGTGGCCGCCAGCGTCGTCGTGGACGACGGCACCCGGCGCAGCCCTGGCGTCACGGTCGGAGCGGCTAATTCGTCCTCGGTAGTTCTGCAGCAGCGTGATGGCGACGCGTCGTCTGTGGTGGTCGGCGCGCCGCCCACGAACTTGTTGATGACGATCCTGGAGCACCGCTGCGCCTTGCCAGACGCCGCAACTACCTCCACCACCGTGCCCCTGTCTACCACCTCCACCTCGTCCTCCTCGTCCTCCTCCTCGAAGACATCTTGTTCCTCGTCGACGCTATTGCGTCCTTGCAGCATCTCTTCTTGGTGTGGCTGTTGCACCATGCTCTGCTTCTGGTGGTCGAGAACAGATCCCAAGGCAGGGGAGCAGTCAACGAAACAGAGCTTGAGGCGGCCATCCTGGCGCTGGGCATGAAGGTAGCCCTGGGGCTTCGCGGCCACAGCCTCCAGCACGAGGCGCCCGTCTCGGCGGTGCGGGCGCACCCGCAGGCACGGTCCGCCGTCGTCACCGCCGCGGCGAGACATGGACGGCAGTGGTGGCGGGAACGCGCGCTGCGGCCGGGCGCGGTGGTACTGCACCGCCTTCAGTGTCAGCTCGCCCGCTGCCTCATCCTTCTCCTCCTCTTGGTCATCCAATGCCGGCGGCGAGAAGAAGTCGGCGGCGACGGCATCGTCGGTTGTGTGGGGCGGGGGCGGCGCGTAGAGCCGGGATGCCAGGTCAAGGAAGTCGCCGCGGGTGCCAGTCTCGCAGCCGAGGCTCTCGGTGCAGAGGCTGAGGCTCTCGTGGCTCATGGACCGCCGCACCGTCGCCATCGGGCAAGTGGCCTTGGCCTTAATCGCCGGCGGCTCGGGCTTGTTGGCGCAGTCGTTGTTGGCTGGGGCCTGCATGGCGCTCCACATGTCCAGCTGCTGCGGCGGTGGCATCGGCGCCGGCAGGCGAGTGTGAGGAGGAGCGACGTCCAGCGCCGGCATGACATGGCAAACGGCCACCGTCATCTCGAATGACCAACAGAAAGATCGCAGCCGAAGAAGAAGATCGATGAAGATCGCACCTTGATCTGGTGTTGGAGAAGTAGTGAGTGAGATGAGTGAGGTGGTGAGGGGGGTTGTGAGGCTATTTATAGGCAACTGGCTCCTCTAACTTCGCTCCTATGAAGTTAGGGAAACAGTACCCTAACTTAGTCTGTAAACCATCAGATGAAAAATAGATGGCCAAGATTCTGCATTGTTCACATGGGTTGTAGCATACTGCTTGGACGAGCACTGTAGCTAAAATCACTGTTTGTTACCTGTAGCAATTGACACTGTTTAAAAACTGTAGTGATAGATCTCAACCATTTATTCTAGATCCAACGGATGAAATGTGGCTAAGTTAGGCTCCTAACTTCACAGTAGCTAAGTTAGAGGAGCCGGTTCCTATTTATAGGCGGGAAGGGGGAGCCTTTTCAGCCGTCCAGGCACAACAGAGGAGGAATCCATCCATCCCTAATTATTTCTTTGGCTCTAAAGTACATTCCATCTTTTCTTTAGCAGCTACTAATACTACTAGTAGTAAATTAACTGGTTCCGATGTCAATGGGGGACAGCAAGCTGGAGGCATTTCAGCCGAAGCATCCCACTGTCTTCTGCTTTATTTGCTGTTTCCATTACTTACTAGCATATTGAAAATTCCAAGTTTTATTAGGTTTTTTGTCACCTACATACTACTTTCCGGCAACTGAAAATCATTTGCACTTAAAAAAAAATTGCACATTACTAAAGTTCACACCAGATAGATTACTCTTTTTTCACGCGAAAACTTTCGACATATTCATCTTCAATCATGACGGTACAACGAACACCAGAAATATGAAAATTACATCCAGATCCATAAACCACCTAGCATTGGCTACAAACACTAAAACGAGCCTAAGGTGCCGCCGGCATCGCCCCTCCCTCGCCGGTGCCGGGCAAAATTCACCAAGGATAGATCCTTCGGAGACACACCTCCACACGCTCAGCGGCGATGCTAGATGCACCATCGGAACAAAGGCTAGAGGGGAGGAAGTACCTTGTGCCATTTTTAGGGAGCCATCATTGTATCTTCTTTCTGAGAAGGACACAAACTCTAACAAAACTCGAAGGAACACCTAAAAATAGAGACCTTTCACCGGCAAGGGCCGGGATCCACCACACCGCCATGGCCCTAAAGCCACCAGAGACGAGGCGGACCGGCGGCGACGCCGGTGGGAGGCAGGACCCTAGGATTTTCTTTTTTGGAGGAGGCGGCTAGATGGATTACTCCTTAACAGTCCATTCTATGCACAAATTGTGGCTCAGTTGACCCCACAGCTTTTGAGGAACATTGGTTATAATTATTGTACACTATGAATATTTAAAAAATAAGCAATGACCCCACATATTCTTTCGGCTGGCTTGGCCATTGATCCTTAATACTATAGCACTATAACGGTTTCGAAAAAAAAAATACTATAGCACTATAGCACTATGGTCACACACAACAAAGGCCCATTTGCAAAATTGTGCTACTAGCTAGTAATTCGTATTCTTCTCATAATATCTAGCATTCACAACTATGGAAGCACATATGTAAGCTCCTTTACTTCTTTTTGTCTACTTTTTGAATCTGTGTGTGGTGGCTTGCTACTGAGTGGTCTAGCTAGGTTAGTGGAAACGAGTCCCCCAGCATACACCACCAGTGCCAAGCATGGAACATGGGGGAATGCTCATTACTCATTATTAATTTGTCTCCTTGTGCAAGCCTTAATCAATTAGGAAGCTGCATGCATCACTCATGTCACGCTGCCACACAAATATCCTCCTCTCATTCACAAGCCTAAGGCAACCTACTTTGTTTTGTTCCCTCTTAGTGGCTAACAAATAGATAGTTACATATTGCATCATGCCCACTAGCTAGCAAACTGCTTGTTCCAAAACTTACTTAGTGCATGCCATCCTTAATTATGTACTGGGAGCATCTGGTGTTGATGTTCTTTTTTCCATATGCATGCATGGTCACTACCAGCTTGTTGAGAAATCCATTCACAGGTCAGTAGTATTGGTTTAATTAATTAGCAGTAATCTAAAATGCATGCGTAAGGTAATTAAGAGCATAATGCAAATGCAAAATATAAGTATACTATACGTATGCAAGTGAGGAGGAGGATGAGAAGGCACGATTCTCTCTTTCTGGCTCCTTTCCATCAATATGGAATAGAATATATGTGCTGGAGGGTGCACGGGTACCAAATTGTTCTAATGGTTTAATCATTCTCTTTTATCCTCCTCTTAATTCTATTCAAGTGGTACTGTACTCCATGCTTATAGATGCCATTTAGTTCTTTTGGATATGGGTGCATAGTCGTGTCTCATCTGCTATCTCTAGCCATTTCCCCACTGGATCAAATTATTCTAGTGGTGCTTCTACTTCAAGCCAAATACCAATGCCTTTGAAGCAAAAATAAATATCTTGTTTTTGCATTGTTGAAATGAAAGCTACTACTAGGTCTCTAATTCAGTCGGAAAAAGTTCATACTTTTATCAGAGAACCCCGGTTTCGATATAAAATTAAGACAAATAGTATCATCTGTAAACACGTCTGAAAGATCGTGGATGTCGCCTAGAGGGGGGGGGGGGTGAATAGGCGTTTTAAAATAATTATGGTTTAGGCTTGAACAAATGCGGAATAAACCTAGCGGTTAATTTGCCAAGCACAAAACCTAAAACAACTAGGCTCACCTATGTGCACCAACAACTTATGCTAAGAAAGATATGCAACTATGTGATAGCAAGATATATGACAAGAAACAATTTGGTTATCACAAAGTAAAGTGCATAAGTAAAGGGGCTCGGGTAAGAGATAACCGAGGCACGCGGAGACGATGATGTATCCCGAAGTTCACACCCTTGCGGATGCTAATCTCCGTTTGGAGCGGTGTGGAGGCACAATGCTCCCCAAGAAGCCACTAGGGCCACCGTAATCTCCTCACGCCCTCGCACAATGCAAGATGCCGTGATTCCATTAAGGGACCCTTGAGGGCGGTCACCGAATCCGTACAAATGGCAACCCTTAGGGGCGGTCACCGAACCCGTACACTTTGGCAACCCTTGGGGGCGGTCACCAGTACCCGTCAAATTGCTCAGGGCGATCTCCACAACCTAATTGGAGACCCCGACGCTTGCCCGGAGCTTTGCACCATAATGATTGAGCTCCGAACACCAACAACCGTCTAGGGCGCCCAAGCACCCAAGAGGAACAAGCTCAAGGGTACCAAGCACCCAAGAGTAATAAGCTTCTCAACTTGTAACTTCCACGTATCACGTGGAGAACTCAAACCGATGCACCAAATGCAATGGCAAGGGCACACGGAGTGCCCAAGTCCTTCTCTCTCAAATCCCATCGAAGCAACTAATGCTAGGGAGGAAAATGAGAGGAAGAACAAGAAAGAGAACACCAAGAACTCCAAGATCTAGATCCAAGGGGTTCCCCTCACATAGAGGAGAAAGTGATTGGTGGAAATGTGGATCTAGATCTCCTCTCTCTTTTCCCTCAAAAACTAGCAATAATCCATGGAGGTATTGAGAGTTAGCAAGCTCGAAGAAGGTCAACAATGGGGGAAGAACACGAGCTCGAAAGATAAGGTTCAAAGGGGAAGAAGACCCCCTTTTATAGGAGGGGGAAATCCAACCGTTATCCCCCACTCAGCCCCGCAGAGAGCGGTACTATCGCGGGGGCAGGGCGGTACTACCGCTCATAAGCGGTACTACCGCTCCCCCTCAGCGGTACTGCCGCGCTAGAAGAGAAGGGGCTGGGGCTGGGACCCAGAGCGGTACTACCGCCACTACTACTGCAGCTAGTACCGTAAAACCCGACACGAGAAAATGCGCACTCGAGTCGAGGCGGTAGGAGCACGGAGCCACAGCGGTACTGCGGCTGAGGCCATAAAGCGGTACTACTACTCCGAGGAGCGGTACTGCCGCTTAGTGTGCCTCAGCGGTACTACCGCTGTGGCCCGCGGTACTACCGCTGGGTCCATGACAAAAACCACACTCAAGAAAATCAGAACTGCCATAACTTCTGCATTTGAGCTTCGAATTGAGCAAACTCAAGCTTGTTGAAAACAAGACGACGAGTAGCATCAAAACAACGACTGGTTATAGTAAGGTATTATCTTTAAATATAACTCTGTGGACAGTCTATGGACAAAACCAACACATGTACTCCAAGAAAAGTCTATGGACAAAACCTTTAAATATAACTCAAGGCAACCATTAGTCCATAGAGATTGTCATCAATTTCCAAAACCAAACATGGGGGCACCGCATGTTCTTTCAATGTCCCGCAAAAAAGGTATTATCTGTAAACATAAAGATTAATTAACTCGCTATATGACTAGCTAATTGTAAGCTGTGTTTTTTTATTGAAGATGGTCGGTGCTCCGGTTTCTCATTAAGAATGGGGAAAATTACAATTAGTGATCACAAGTGTGACCAGGCAAGGAACTCGACAAAGAGGAAACACACTCAAGACGAAAAAATTTAGGAAAAAACATCTCTAGTTAAACATGCTATATATACCGACCGCCATCATGTGTATATATTCAAAATCCGACGGTTGTGGTCGTTCCATAGATACCAGATCGTGTAAAAAGTGAGTGCCAAGCCTGTCTTTCGCTCTTTGCTTTTTTTTTTTGGCGAGAAAACTTCCAATCTATTCATCTTCAATCATGGCAATACAACGAACACTAGAAATAATAAAAATTACATCCAGGTCCGTAGACCACCTAGTGATGACTACAAGCACTGAAGCGAGCCGAAGACGCGTCGCCATCATCGCCCCTCCCTCGTCGGAGCCAGGCAAAACTTGTTGTAGTAGACAGTCGGGAAGTCGTCGTGCTAAGGCCCCATAGGACCAGCGCAACAGAACAGCAACCGCCCCCGATGAAGAGTAGCGTAGGTCGGAAGGATTCAACCTGAAGAAACACAAACGTATACGA